AATGTATTGTTTCGTATAAGTCAGATGGTTATTGGCCATATCAGACCCAACATCTCTCCATTATCACAAATATAATGAATGGCCTCTCTTACTATCCTGATTTGAAATTCATTGATTATATAACCCATAAAACATAATTTAAAAAAATTATATATAGACATATAAAGGAAAAATAAAAAGATAGTAATATATAAAAATACGTATTTTAACTTACACATGCGTGGCTGTGACTATTTCGGGAGACAAAATAAAATATCAGAGGCTTGCTTCTGTGTATAGAATCACTAAGAGTGTGATAGTGCCTGTCTGGCAGCGGCCATCAGGTAAGCCAAGATGGGCACTTCCAAGTACATCCAGGAACCATGGAGGAAGAAGCAGTTCAATGTAATACGCTTTCTTCTCAGGGTTGCTGCTGGCAGTAGTGCCAGCGCTCTGCGCCCCACAGGGATACAAGGTTATGTCATATATCAGATTTGTGTGTGCCATGGTGGCTGCAAATGCCCAGTTCCTAAGGATGCAACCTGTGACAAACCTGTCCATCACGGTGTTAACCAGTGAAAGTGCTCGAAGCCTTCAGTCTGTTGCTGAGGAGCAAGCTGGATGCCACTGTCAGGCTCTGAGAGTCCTGACTTCTTCCTGGCTTGGTGGAGATTTCACATAAAAATTCTTTGAGGTTACCCACATGGATCCATTCCACAGAGCTATCAGAAGAAGTTCGGACACGCAGTAGATCACCAGACCAGTCCACAAGCACAGGGAGATGCGAGCGCTGACATCTACAGGCTGCAAGAGCTGTATCCTTGGCAAGGACCACAAGTCTCACCACAAGATTGGTGTTTCTCGGCCTTCGCCTTGGGGAAGGTGTAATCCTCGCCAGCTCTACCATTCCTGCTAATAGAAGTAATGTTTATTAAATTCTTACCTAATAAAATAAACAAGACAATTGTGTCACTGTTAAAAGTGACTTTTATTGATGAATTCAATGCAATCCCTATCAAAATTTCAGTGACATTTTTTAAAGAAATAAACAGTCATAAAATTTGTATGGAAGCATAAAAGACTCCTAACAGTTAAAGTGATCTTAAGAAAGAACAAAGCTGGAGGTATCATGCTCCCTGATTTCAAACTATGTTACAAAGCTATAGTGTAATCAAAGCAGTATGGTATTAAAAAAACCACAAAAAACAGTATGGTATTGGCATAAAAACAGTCACATTTGTCATTGGAACAGAATAGAGAGCCTAAAAATAAGGCCATGCATACTCATATATGGTCAATTAATTTATGACAAAGGAGCCGAGAATATACAATGGGAAGAGGACGGTCTCTTCAATAAATGGTGCTGGGAAAACTGGACAGTCACGTGCAAAAGAATAAAGCTGGACCGCTATCTTACACCTTACACAAAAAATTAATTCAAAAAGGATTAAAGACTTGAATATAAGACCTGAAACCATAAAGCTCATAGAAGAAAACACAGGTGGTAAGCTCGTTGACATTGGTGTTGGTGATGACTTTTTTAGACTCCAAAAGCAAAGGCAACACAAGCAGAAATAAACAAGTGGGACTACATCAAACTAAAAAGCTCCTGCACAGCAAAGGAAACCATCAACAAAATGAAAAGAGAACCTACAAATCGTATAATATCTGAGTAAAGGGTTAATATTCAAAATATGTAAAGAATGCACAACTCAATAGCAAAGACCTGAATAGACATTTTTCCAAAGAAGACATGCACTTACATGGACAGGATGCTTCACATCACTAATCATCAGGGAAATGCGAATCAACACCACAAGGAGATACCACCTCATACCTGTCAGAATGGCTGTTATGAAAAATACAGGAAATAAGTATTGGCAAGGATGTAGAGAAAAGGGAATGAACCCTTGTGTATTGTTGGCGGAAATGTAAATTGGTGCAGCCACTTTGGGAAACAGCATGGAGGTTCTTTTAAAAATTAAAAATAGAACTACAATATGATCCAGCAGTTTCACTTCTTCTGGGTATTTATCTGAAGAAAACAAAAACAGTGATTCAAAAGGTGCTCCCCCCCCCAGCCCTGGTGTTCATTGCAGCATTATTTACAATAGCCAAGACATGGAAACAACCCAAGTGTCTATCAATGGATGAATGGATAAAGAAAATGGTATATACACACAATGGAATATTCAGCCATTAAAACGAATGAAATCTTGTCATTTGTGACAACATGAATTGACCCTGAGGGCATTATGGTAAGCAAAATAAGACAGAGAGAGACAAATACCATATGATCTCACATGTGGACTTTTGAACAAAAAACCAAGTTAATAGTTACAGAGAACAGATTAGTGGTTGCTAGAGTGGGTATGGAAAATGGGTGAAGAGGGTCAAAAGGTATAAACTTCTTGTTAGCAAATAAATAATGAGGATGTAATGTATAGCATGGCGACTCCATCATCAGGGAAGCACAGATCTGAACCACAATGAGATTATAGTTTATTATAGTTATAGTATTATAGTTAATAATACTGTATCACATATTTGAAAGTTGCTAAAAGAGTAGATCTTAAATATTCTCATCACAAGAAAATTTTGTAACTATACATGGTGATGAATGTTAACTAGTCTTATTGTGATCATTTGCAATATGCAAACATCAAGTCATTATGTTGTATACCTGAAACTAGTTTGTTACATGTCAATTACACCTCAATAAAATAAGTCACTAAGTCTAGCCTACACTTATGGGAGGAGTATAAAATAATTTTTGGACATATTTTAAAACAAATAGTGTGGTTAGCTATTGATGAGCCTTAGGAATAGGGAGGGTCTAATTGACTATTGCTATTGTTATATTGATCAGCCTAATAAAGTGGGAACCAGGGGGTTAAAAGTGCATATCATGTCAGTTATATCTCAATAAAGGTGGTGGGGGGGAGTGCATATCATTCAGAAAACAGGAGATTAGGGAAAAATTTCCTTCAGTGATTTTCTTTTGCTGAGACATTACCGCATTATCTCTGAGTAACAAAGACAAACTCATTAGGATGAAGTACTGGGTAGGTATGCCATCTTATAATATTCAGAATGACAAGTTTCAAGTGCGTATTTGTGTTATAAGTACCTGCAACGCCTAATATAGTATGTTGATATGTTTTTGTAAAACGGAATTGTCAAAAAAAAATTTTAAGGGCCCATTAAATATCTTAAGCAAAAACCCAATGTGTGAAACATAAAAATGGAACCACCCTTGTTACAGGGAGATGGGCCCAGAATCCCACTGGCGTAGCATCCTTTTCAGTCTCTCCTCATATTGCTGCCAGGGGTTCAGGGAACATAGTTTGAAAACTAGACCATGCAATGATATCCCTTTCCAGCCTAATTCACAAAAACCTATTAATATATAAGGCAGCAGAGCTCAGGAAGATAGCGTAACAGCCAAAAAAAACCTGCGCCAGGTGGCAGGCTGATTTCTGGTGCTGTCTGTTCTATTGTATAATAATCAGTGAAAAGCCATGGGGGCTTGGGGAAGGAGTTGGTGATTGGCCAGCCATGGATATTTATACTTACGTTAATTTGTTATCTTACCCAATTTTTTTCTCCTCCAACAGAATAATACAACAGTTCTTTGCAGGATTCTTTGCAAATTCTGCAGTGCCTGGGTCCCCGCACCCTTTTTCCTGGTAAGTAACTAGTTGCCTTCTGTCTCACTCTGCTGAAGTAGCGTTATTTTAGGTGCTATAGTATCCATGCCATAGTGAGAAAGAGAGAGCTGCATAGGCGAGTACGTAGATGTGATTGGCAGGCTGTTAGACTGCCGTTATTTGCTGAGCCCAATCTTAATCAGAACTTATGTTTTGTTCAGGCTCACGAGGGCCCAGGATGTCTGGGCGCTGGAGGTGTCTGATTCTGGGTTGTGTTGCGGTGTGAGATGAGATGGTCCCTGTCAGCCTTGGTATCTGGTTTATGGGTTTCTCCTCATCCTACGGGAAGATTTTATTCCTTAAGAATTTCTGAAATTGAAAACATACCTTAAGTTTTTTCAAAGTAAGAAGGTTTGTCAGAAGAAACAAAAGTGTATAATTCAGTATCAGAGTGACACTTCTGTACAGTGGGGGTTAAAGATGGAATTGCTGCTCATCTGGACAATTATTTTGCCACTTCTGACCCTACCCCAGAAGGCTTCCTTGCTCAGAAGGACCTCAGTTCATCCACACAGTTACCCTATTTCTCAGCCTCTGGTTTCTCCACACGTTGCCCCCAAAGAATCTGGACATCTGTCAACCACGGCAGTGCACAGCAGCTCAAAACGAGGTGCTGCCAAGTCTCTTGTAATTGCTCTAAGTTATGCTTCCGAGAGACTGCTATGGCTGCTTCTCTACTTGAAAGCTCCTCTTTGTCCAGGACCATGTCAGCCTCTTTGCATGAGGGAAGTCGGCTAGATTTGGGCAGCCATCCGTCAGTGTAAGTGGGCACAGAGAAGACAAACTTTTCTAACCAGTGAGTCACTCTTTTTGCTTTTGTGTGTCATGTGCTATTTTAGGCAGCTTCACAGTTTAGGTTCCATCCAGTTCAGTAAAATCTCCTAGGGAATGAGTGACTACCTCTGGGTAATCTGTTTGACCTTGAAAATATTGAGAAATTCTTTGCCACTTGATTCTAGAGAACCAGTGATTTTTCTGGGGCTGAGAGAACAGGATCTCTCTGCCAGTTCGTTTTCTGTGCCTGGGAGATAGGGCTGCTTGCTCCATCTAATGCTGTGTCTCATCTCATGTGTAGGAGCGGGATGCTGCACTCCAACCCTGGGGACTATGCCTGGGGTCAGACAGGGCTGGATGCCATTGTAACCCAGGTGAGGAGCTGCCTCTGGAGGGTGTCTGTTCCGTGCGTCCCTTGGTGCCACAGGCATCCTGCTTTCTTTCTGCCACTTTCTGAAATGGGAGTCACTCCATGCTCTCCCGCATGTTTTGAGCTTGTGGGTTTGCATTTTACTAAAGGGATAAATGGTGTACGGGTTTAGCTCGGCATCCATGTACCTTCTAGATCCTAGCGGCTTTCTAGAAGATGGCTTTGCCTCCATAGGAGGAGAAGACTTCTCCTATAACAAACAGTATTTTGTATTTTTGACCTCCGTTCAATCCTGTGATGGTCTTATTAACAACTGCATCATAGAAAAAGAGGGTCTCACATACCAAAGAAGGTATTTCCATGCTGTGTATAATGGCTTCCACTTGTTTCTGTTTATTTTAATTTAATTGGTTTTTCATTTCCCTTTTGGATTGCTGAGAATAGAAAGCAGGCGGTTTATATCCAAGTCTTGTAGGCAGTAATTTACCTATTTCTTGGCTTACCTTATGCTATTTTCCGTACTCCCACCCTTTTCTTCCTTCCAGCAGAATGAAGTTTTAGGACCGGTTAAGTATCACTTTTGGTTAAGCTGTAATTTTATTCATGACATCACAGCCCTTTTTGCTGCCTCTGAAGTTGCTTCATGCCCAGAGGTGTACCTTGCAATGATGGGTCTGTCTGTAGTTACACTAATATGCCTCTGAAATTATAAAGCAAGTCTGAGGGTTCTGGCAGCAGGAAAGGGGAAACCTGTGCCTCTCAGAGCCTTGCAAAAGAGCCACAAACATTTCTAATATCTCCACTCTGTTCTCAGCTGGAGCAGCTCACTCCCCAGGTATAGTGAGATGTCTGCCACTTCTTTTTCTTTTTTTTGTAGCTTTTAGGACAACTGGAAAACACGGGGCCTCCCCCAGCTGACAAGGAAAAGATCACATCTCTTCCAACAGTGACAGTAACTCAGGAACAAGTTGGTAGGTTCATTTGCATATTTATTCTGCCATCTTCTGATTTGTGTTCAAAATTCCAGCAACTTCCTATGCTGAGGATTTTCAAGTGAAGCTACAGCTCTCCTAAAATTCCTGCCTGGGTGCCAGCTATGGAAGGTACCTACCCACTTTGGTAGGGTTAATTGACAGGTATTTCCTGAGCAATTACCATGTCCCTTTTCTAGATGCCATGCAGGAAATTTAAAAGTACAAAGATACAGGGTCGGCCGAGTGGCTCAGTTGGTTAAGAGCTCGCTCAAGAGTTTGAGCTCTTAGCAACAGCGGTTCAATGCCCGGCCTGAGCTGAGCTGCCAAAAGGTGGCAGGATGGCTCAGCTAAAAAAATAAAAAATAAATAAATAAATAAAAGTACGAAGATACGTAAGACTTGAGTTCTTGAAGAACTTACTAGGGGAAGCAGGAGTCACCAGTGATTAGATAACAGTGAAAAAATGTTGTTGAGCAGGTGCTACTGACTTGGGGGAAACAGGAAGAGAAAAAAAATGAGAGCCTGGGAATGTGTTTCACATCTACTGTGTCAGATACAGTTAAGTACATTGGACAGATATTTTATTTATAAGCACTGGAGGAATTCAGTGATGAAGGACATTATTTTGGACCTGGAGTTTTCTTTCCCCACACATTCCAGTTTAGAGTAGAAACGATTTTAAAGATGGGATGGGCCGTCTTAGAGAGGTCATTCTATTTAAGGAAAAGTGAACTAATGTAAAAATGTGAGCATGGACATGGTGTCTGAATCAGGTATGAGGAGAGTGACCTCATTAGACCTGAAATAGAATCTGGTTTGCGGAGTAATGGGAGGTATGACTGGATATGAAGGCGGGGTGGGGCCTTGTTATAGAGGATATTGAAACTAGCAGAGTAGTTAGGGATGGATATTTTAGGTAGTAGGTAAGTTTCGTAGGTCCCCAAATGGAGGAATGAGGGAATTTAAGTGGCCTTCAGGGTAGATTAGTTTGGAGGTGGTATCTAAAGTAGATGGGAAGGAGGAGAAACAGAAACAGGAATTTAGGGGCTGTTGCAGCATTCAGGTGGGGCTCAGGTGACGGTGGCAATGCTAACAGAAAGGAAAAGTCATTTTGAAGAAAGGCTTTCATCACTGATTGCACAATGGGATGAAGAAAGGGAGAGGGTCAAAGATGATTCTAAGGTTTTGCAGCTTTGTAACTACAAAGGTGGTGCTGCCATCATCAGGAATGAGGGAATTGTGAGCAGGCCCGAGTTTGGGTAAGGAAGTGATGTGATGTTTTCGATTTTGAGGTGCCAAGTAAAGGTGAGCTGGGAATTGCTATGAAGTTAGTACCAAAGTATAGGGTGTATTTGTAGAGTCGAAGGCCTGGCATCAGGGTCCTACCTGGGAGACTGTTAAATAGACTCAGCATAAGTAGCTAGAATGAGGGCAGAGGTGGTGGGGATCGAGAGGGAGGAGCGAGTCCACTTAAGTGGTAGTCTTTCTCCAATGCCTGAGTGTTGAGGGACATGCAGCAGCCCCGGTCCCTGGGGAGATGGACAGCTGATATCATTAGTCAGATCTGGGGGACTCGCAGTTGGCTGCAGTTGGCTGTGAGTGCTCCCAGTTTAGTTCATAGCCATTTCCTCTGAGACAGAGGACTGGAGCCTGAGCCCCCCTGGGATGCTGCAGTTGTGTAGCACCACCTCCTGGCACAGCCTTTTATTACCGCCGTGTTCGGAGGGCTTTAGGGCAACCACGCTGGAAGGATGCCTAGTGTGGGTAATCGTGGGCTTGCTGAGATGAGTCCCTTGATTGTCGTAACAGATTGCCAGTGTGTCCTAAGTGCCAGCTGCCAGAAGGCTACCGCACATTTGGGACGATGCCGCTCCTGTTTTATTTAACAGATAATCTAAGGCCCAGTTGATTTCTCCTGTCTCTACATTGGAAAGTAGGCCTTATAGTTCCCATCTAGGCCCATCCACCAGGCCTCCTGTTCATTTCCTCTACTACATTCATGCTTCCGTTTGCCTCCACGTTGGGTACACCTTGTGTCTCTTCTTTACACATTCCTTTGGTTGTTAAAGATGGCGGGCTAGTTTTTCTTCCTTCTTTTTGCTTGTTTACTTTAAAAGGCATTTCCTCTTCCAACAGATATGGGTTTAGAGTGTTCAGTATGCAAAGAAGATTACACAGTAGAAGAGGAAGTCCGGCAGCTACCCTGCAACCACTTCTTTCACAGCAGTTGTATTGTGCCCTGGTTAGAGCTGGTGAGTACAGATAGCTCTCCTCTGTGATGGGGCATCTGTGCCCTTCACATCCTCCGGGGGTTGGGGTTGGTGATTGAGAGGAAGGGTATAGCTGACAGTTAATGGAGAGCCATGCGATCGGATCTTAGTCCCTGGCTAACTGCTAGTAGCACCGTTACTTTGTTTTAGATTGCTTCCTCTTTGGAATTTCTGAAGGGGGTTAGCAGGCTACAGCCCACAGGGCACTGTGGGCCGCCATCTGTTTTTGTAAATAAGGTTTCACTGGCACACAGCGGTGCTCATTTGTTTACAGATTGTCCGTGGCTACTTTCTTGCTGCATCAGCAGAGTTGAGTAGTTGCGACACAGGTGGTATAGAGCCTGAAGTATTTACTACCTGTCTGTTTACAGACAAAGCTTGCTGACCCCTGCTCTGGGCCACCTCAGGTCACTGATTCTGTCCTGCTTGGTGTATGTGTTAGCTGTCGTTTCGCTGCTGGCCTAGAACTGTCAGTTCTGCTTAAAGTTCTGTTTGGGAGGCGTCCTGGTGTTGCACGCGGGAGCCCAGTGTGTGCAGTATGAGAATCGTGCCCTTTTTGTGTTTCTGTCCGCCGACTCTCAGGGTTTCTTATGTGTTTAGTACCTCCAGCTTCTCAGGTCAGGCTGTTTACGTGAACCGATATCTTTCTATTTCAGCACGATACATGTCCTATATGTAGGAAGAGCTTAAATGGTGAGGACTCTACTTGGCAAACCCAGAGCTCTGAGGCCTCTGCAAGCAACAGATTTAGCAGTGACAGCCAGCTACATGACCGATGGACTTTCTGAAGCCTAAGCCGCATCTGAGCCAGGGCTGTGGTGGTCTTCTTACAGGTGTATATTGTATCAAAGCAAAAAGATAGTAGAAACCCCGACCCATAATATTAATGCAATGAGTGTTTTTCTTCTCTAAATTTAAAGTTAGCATCTGTAGATGGAATTGTATCTACAACCAAATGCCTCTCCTTCCTGAATTCAGAGTGATAATTTTATAAGTGTGAAACTTTGCTATGTGGGTTTCCCACCACCGGAATAGAATCAGCTCCTTAAAGTGTAGCTAGGGCCCTGCTACCTGTCATGTTACCTTGTAATGGATGCTCTCACCTCCGTGTCCAGCCTCCACCTACCATCTGTTAGTGCATTTTACAGTAAATGCAGTGGAACTAGAGCCCTTAACGTGCTGCTGATGTGAAGTCCTCCTGTTTCAATTGTACAAAAGCATATGCTCTTGACCACACTTAGCTGTGACTTGAGGTCAGATTAATTCAGGAATTTAGGCCTAATCATTTTGTTTTGTCTTAAACCCTCAGAGAGCAAATCACAGAAAAATTACAGTGGGAAGGGGAAAGTGGCATATTTTTGTGCCCGTTGGTGTTCTCATTTGAACTTCTAAAGCCTACTTCACAAGTTGCCGTTTCCTCAGAAACCGCCATGACACATCTTAGGAGTCTCCTGTTGGTTGGAATCGATCTGGATCCTTTGGGGAATGAGCAGGGCAGCAGACATGCGCAGAGGACAAATGTCTGAAATCTTTGGTTCTGATGTTTTTTAATGATCCCCAACTCATCGTTTACTGTCTTTTGTCCTGGAGACCTTAAAATAACTTCCTTCACAGAGGTGGAATTACTTCATTATTGCTTCTGCTACAGCCATGTTACCGTTTTTAGTAATTCATTGGTCTTTAGGGATTGAGATTTTTGCATGGTCTCATTTTAATTTTTTAAGCCCTTTAATCATCTCTGAAACCTTTCTGTTGGCTTGGTTCTTAATGGCTGTACTTGGAGTCAGACCTGTGGTTGTGATCATGCCCAAAACTGCTTGGCCTAGGAGAACTACACCTTATTTTTTTAGCCCAGCAGCGTCCTGTGTACATGCATGCACTCTTTGGAGCATTTGAAGATCAGAAGTGTCCTTGGAACCTCCAAGTCTCAAAAGGAAATGATGGGGACATGTAACCACTGTTGGTGCACCCACAAGGGTGACAGAGGGGCACCGTTTATATGGTCACATCAGCCCTTCCGAACAAGAAGGCCACTTTTGGGTCAGTCTCTTTCTTGGCTAGGAGTCTCTTTTAGTTTTTGTTGACTATCATATACTATACACTGATTCTGGGGGGGTATGAGAAGGGGGTTAGATGATAAAGGAGTAGGGGGCAGAGAGAGAAAGGGGGAGCGTGGCTTGCTGAATTCATAGCCTGTCTGTAAAAGTTGTGTCCATAAGGGATGATTTAGGTTGGGCCCAGAGGGAATAAAAGTTGTTTTTTCATGTGCCTCTCATGTCATACCTCTGTAGTGACTGTTTCTTTGGACAATGTGAGCTATTTGCTAAGGCTATTGAAATGTCACCCCAAAATACACATTGGTTTTGAATCGGGGGGTGAAGAGATGGGGTGGGGTGGAGTGAGGTATATTATGACTGTTTAATGGCCACTATTCAACTGTCAGAAAATTTATGATAGTCTGGAAAAATTTGTCTGCTTGTTAATATGCGCAGGTGCCAGGATAGGCGGTTGTGTTTTCACTCACAACTAGAGAACTAGAAAGGATCGGAGTGGCTTCACTATGGGATGAAGCACAGTGCTGGGTCGGGATTTAGCTTTTCCTACACAGAATAGCAAGTAGCATCCGTCCGAGTTACCTGAAATCTTCTTCACTTTTGCTCTGATAAAGGACAGGAGGCTCATTTGGCCGTTCCCCAGGTCCCTCCCACTTAAGGAATCTAGAGCTTCTTCCTAGAATTGGCAGCACCTCAGATTTCCAGGTTAATTTAGGTTAAGGAGTGTTAGGGTTCTCCAGGGAAGCAACGAGATTTATAAGGAGTTGGCTTATGCTATTATGGAGGCTAAGAAGTCCCAAGGTCCGCAGCCAGCCAGCCACGAGGGAGTCGGCGGTATTGTTCCAGTCCGACTCCGAAGGCCTGAGCACAGGCAATTTGGTGATGTAAGCTCCAGCCCAAAAAGCCAGAAGGATCTGATGTTTCGGTTTGAGTCCAAAGGGAGTAAAGGACTGATGTCCCAATCCATGTGGGCGGGCAGGAGAAGTTCCCCTTACCGGTAGGAGTGTCAGTATTTTATTCTGTTAAGGCCTTCAACTGATTGGATGAGGCCCACCCACATTAGGGAGGGAAATATGTTTTATTCAGTCTACTGATTTAGATATTAATCTTATTTAAAAAATACCCTCATGGACACACCCAGAACTATCTTGGCATCCCATGGCTGAGTCAGGTTGACACATAAAATTAACCATCACAAGAAAAATAGAAATGATGCACACAGCACAGTGAGCCTCCTCCCACTTTTTTGTCAGGTGAACAGAGTGTGTATGGAAATGCCTGGCTTGCTGGGAGATGTCAGTACTGGGGTTAAACAGTGGAGGTAATATATATGGGATGCGGACCAGCTTGCTTTGTGCATCACACCTGTTTTTCCTCTTTGGCCTAAATTCACCTGGAAGTGTGAGATACCTCCCATTCTGGGAAGAAACACCGTGGACTCGTTGGTCCAACACCACAGTGTGGCTGGAGTTAAGAGTTTATTTCTAGGAATGCCTTGGTCTTAAATGTTTTAAAACATAGTTTAGATACAGCCTGCAGCAGAGGGCTATGTAACCTGAATTTTTCATTTTCAGGTGTTTCCTTGATAGCTGGAAGGCTTACAGACGCAGGAACCTGGAGCCTTCAGGAGTCAAGAGGGCTGATTTAGCTCTCCCTGGTGGTCAAAGACAAGAGACAGCTGTTGGCAATTTCAGATCTTGAACCTTTACAGTGTTGAGGCCTCAGCATTCATGTTAAATGGCCTACCCTTTGAGTCCCATGCAGAGCTAAACAGATTGCTTTTTTATTCATGAATGTCTTCTTTGCCTTCCTCTTGTCTGTTATAATTTGAAATAAGAGGGAAGAAAACTGTCTTAGCACATAAATAGGAGAGACTTGAAAGTTGAGAGGTTGTACAGGGCATCGCCTCGCTGGCCTCCAGGTGATTATTGCTTCTCAGGTACTTTCCAGACAGGTTAGTCTAATCTTCATTGGGTTAGTTCTGGCTGGACAGAACTGGGCAGTTGAGTGGGAAGGGCAGAGAAGGGAACTTTTAGCTGATAGATCGCCAACATCTTTAACGTTTCTAAGCTAGTGAGTTGGGAGGAGAGAGAAAGTCTCATTCTGGCATTAAAAATTAATTTTCCCCCAAAATTCCTATTGGCAGTTCTCTGAAGAGTTGAGAAACTTGAAGAATCCAGAATGATATTTTGTCCCTGTTGGTATAGATCCTTGACTCCTTACAATAATATTTTAATTTCTAAGAGAAAGGAATTATTCTAGGTGGAGGATGTGGAAATGGCTATAAATCAGATGCTTCCTTAGCTTATTCTAAATTTTAGTTAAAACATATGCTGTGTAACGGTTGAGCAAGTGCTCGTTAGATGCTTTCGTTGAGCACTAGTGTCTCTGGTCCAATAATTAGCTCTCAAGTTAGAAGGAAGATTTGGGGGGAACACTCCCCCCCCAACAAGTCTCACTTTGATTGATTAGTTATTAGAAAAATTCCATGTTTGTGTTTTCGTATTGCACTTTTGTATGTGCATGTGGGTGTGTGCATGTATATATTCACAGATGCACACAGACGCACATGTTACTAGAGGAAGGAAGGATGTGATGGGCACTGAGGTGACGTGGGCAGGGCTATCACAGAGGGTGGGCCTCCCAGTCTGATGCTCAGTGTACACACCTCAGGCCCTCGCGTTTCTGTTCTTGGTTGTGGGACATTGTTGGCTTGGGCAAGCACCCTGTATATGGTGTGGTGAAGGATTCAGTAGAGGTAAAAGCCTAGTCATTTATGAAGGTTGAGAATAAATGGCTTTCATAACCCATCACTTCTGTATTAACAGTAAATTGAACTCAAATACAATTACTGTTTTTAAAAAAAATTTTCTTGATAAATTATTGCTACCAAATTGACTTCTCTCATGACTTGCATGCTTCACTTTCTCCCTGGTGTCCAGGTGCTGTTTCCTCAAGGAGTACTAATTAAATATGTCCGTCTAATGAGGAGGGGATCATAGTCTGTGTCTGTTCTAAACAACAAACAGCCTCTGGGGTTTTGGGAGGTGAGGGGCACTCAGAGTTGGCGGTTAGAGCCGATCTAGGCAGGCCACTGCCATCTGGGAAGGAAGACGATTTGGGGAGGACAAGGGAGCAGAGCTGGGATGTAGATGGTTGGATGTTAGTGGCAGACCCTCTGGCCTGTGGTAGAGAGGTTGCAGGGTCAGAATGCTCTTTACAGGAATAAGCCAGTGGAGATTCGGGAGTCGGGAACACCAGCAGGAGAGGACTCTTGTTGAGAGTTTCCAAAATAATGTCACATAAGCTGCAGGCAGTTGGGGAAAAGGTTTGATGGGGTAAACATCCCAAGTGGCTATCGCGTGGGAGGGAATTGTAGCTTGCGGTGATGTTAGTGTCTCAGTGCTCAGGCTGGGAACCACAGGGGCTGCTCCAGGGGTCTAAAATCCAGTGGGTAGAATACAGTGTATACAATTGGGGACACTTTCCAGGTTCAAAAGAAAGCCCTTGTCCGATCCAAAGGACACTGAGGCTTTGATCCCTTATACCTGCCAGACAAATGGAATTACAGGCATGATCTACACAAACTTAGTTTTGCCTGATTACATTTAGAAGGTGTCCACGGCAGTGGGGTCTAATGTTGCCTTTCCTCTTTCAGCCAGGACACTTGTATCTGAATCATGGGGTTTTGGCTTGTGGTTCTTTACCATTTCTGATCAGAGGCACCATTTTCAAGGTCCAAAAATTATTAAGACTCCCTCCCAACAAGATGATAGCTGTATTTTTAGCATTTTGGTAAAAAAAAAAAAAACAAAAACAAAAAGCAGCTGTGATTTCAGTAATGCTTTTACATCAGTTTGTCTTTATTAGCCACACTGGAGCTACATCCAGTTGAACTGTACATACATATTTATAAGACGGATCTCAAAACTTCACTTGCCCAAGGACACTCAGCTGGTATGTTGCAGAGTCAGAATTTTAATCCAGGTCTTTTTGCTCCACTCCTGGTCTTTTTACCTCCATGAGATACACAGTCCAAAATCCTTTGAGTTGAGGTTCAGGGCCATCACTAATAAGGGTCTTACCCGTCTCTTTCAGCTTTCTCTGTGTTCCCACAAACCTTAGCTCCCACATTTGGCAGGTCCTGGCCAAGGACCACAGGTAAGGTGTCTGTTCCCTTGTGATGGCTCCAGTTAAATTGTCTGCGTTCCTGCCTCTTCATCCATGTAGTTCTTTCTATTAGGAATATCCTGCCCCCTCTTCCCTGCTTAACTGTGACAAGAGGCCATCTGTTCAAAGAGAAACAGAATTTGAGAATTTAGGAGAAAAACAGCTGCTAGTATTGCTTTGGACTTAATCTGACCAGAGAGGTTGACAAGTCCTGAGTTGAAGCTAGACAGCGGGGTGTGTGGTGCTCCTGGTCTGCACACCTTCCTCCAGCCTAGCTGCGTGGAGGCCGCCGAACACCACGTGCTCTTCGTTTCCTCATTTGCGCTCCATGTCAAGCCACCGGCTCTGGCTCCCTGTCTCCTGTCCTACCTGTCTTTGCTTGTTTCCTCTCTCTCTGCCCTTTACAATGTTAAATAAAAGTTTCTTCCAAAAGCAATTGGCGTTCTCACTCTGTTTGACTTGCTTGTTTATTTTACTGTGTGGAGGGGAGGGCGGAAGCATTCCTCAGAGCGCACACACACACACTTATCCAATGTTTGAGTGAGAACGACACCAGCCGTTTGCTGGTGACTGAGCTGGGAAAGAAGCAGGTTTGCTCTGGTAGTGAGAAGGGGAGAGCAAAGAGTACACTGATTCGCCCCACTTTATGTTCCACAGATCCTTGGCTAATTTTGCATCTCTTCCTGTGTCCTTTGGGGGCAGGGGAAGCGTGGAGCTCTGGACATATTGTAATGTGAAAGATACCAAGCTGAAGAGAGTCAGATTTGTCTTGCTGTGACTTCTTAAAAAGTTTCTTCTGGCAGGAGGCTTACAGAGCTGTAGAAAGAAAGAAAGGAAAGTTTGTATTACTGCCACACAACTTCGAATAGCAACAATACCTCATGTATTGTAATTTGTCCTGGGATGCATGTTTGATCGGTGCTTAAGACGAAAGAGGGAGTGGAAAAGGAAGAAACAGGATGTATTATGAGCTGTGTCTTATTGCTGAAGCTGCAGTTGTGATCTTGTGCAAATCTGATCCTGGTGGAAATGGGGAG